TCATCAGGCATACCAGGCAGTAGTTAAATTCTCATACCTGGATCCTTCACACGGGCAGTTCACAATAGGGTTCGCGCTCCTAGCTGAGACTCTAATGCCACTGCTGATTCGACAGGAGGCGGAGCTCACGCTGTAATGCTCACTCAGCCCGCTGGTTCCTAACAGGCCACCAACAGACCGGCGCCGATCCTAGGCCTGCGGTGTGGGGACCCCTGCTCTAGAGGACTCCTGTCTCTAACTTGATATTATTGACCTGTTATTACATACTAAGCGCTGTGCCAGAGGCTTGTAAGTGCAAACACATTACCTTGTTTCACAGCCTAAGAGGAGGCACTATTAGTAAGCCCGGTTTATAGATGGTGGAGATGAGGTCAGCTGGTGAGGCGTGGGGCCAGGATCTGAACCCGACAGGCTGACTTGAGAGTCCCTACTTTCTTTTTTTTTTTTTTTTTTTTTTTTTTGAGACGGAGTCTCGCTCTGTCGCCCAGGCTGGAGTGCAGTGGCCGGATCTCAGCTCATTGCAAGCTCCGCCTCCCGGGTTTACGCCATTCTCCTGCCTCAGCCTCCCGAGTAGCTGGGACTACAGGCGCCCGCCACCTCGCCCGGCTAGTTTTTTGTATTTTTTTAGTAGAGACGGGGTTTCACCGTGTTAGCCAGGATGGTCTCGATCTCCTGACCTCGTGATCCGCCCGTCTCGGCCTCCCAAAGTGCTGGGATTACAGGCTTGAGCCACCGCGCCCAGCCGAGAGTCCCTACTTTCAAAAAACAATTTTTTTTAAAAAATTTTTATTTATTTATTTATTTTGAGACAGAGTCTTGCTCTGTTGCCCAGGCTGGAGTGCAGTATTGTGATCTTGGCTCACTGCAACCTCTGCCTCCCAGGTTCAAGCAATTATCCTGCCTCAGCCTCCTGAGTAGCTGGGATTATAGGCATGTGCCACAATGCCCGACTAAATTTTTTTGTGTGTGTGTGTGTGTAGAGACAGGGTTTTGCATGTTGGCCAGGCTGGTCTCAAACTCCTGACCTCAAGTGATCTGCCTGCCTTGGCGTCCCAAAGTGCTGGGATTACAGGTGTGAGCCACTGCACCTGGCCAAATTTTCTCTTCTTATAAAGACACCGATCAGGTTGGATTAGGGCCTACTGTAAATACTTTAATTTACTTACGCCTTTTACAACTTTGTCTCCAAATACAGTCACATTCTGAGATTTTTAGGCATTAGGACTTCAAAATATACATTTTAACATTATGAAATTCCACCCATAACGCTATCTATCTACATGTATTATTTTCAGAACCATGTCAGAGTAAATTGCAAACATGAGGCCCTTTACCTCTAAATACTCCAGTGGGCCAGGTGCAGTGGCTCACACCTGTAATCCCAGCTCTTCAGGAGGCCGAGGTGGGCGGATCACCATGAGACCAGCCTGGCCAACATGGTGAAACCCCGTCTCTAGAAAAATATAAAAATTAGCCGGGCATGATGGTGGGTGCCTGTAATCCCAGCTACTCAGGAGGCTGAGGCAGGAGAATCACTTGAACCTGGGAGGCAGAGGTTGCAGTGAGCCAAGGTCGTGCCATTGCATTCCAGCCTGGGTGAGACAGCAAGACTCCGTCTCAAATAAATAAATAAATAAATACTCCAGTGTATATTTCCTAAAATCAAGGACACATTCTCTTCTATGACCACAGGACAAGCACTGAAGTCAGGAAGTTGGGCATCGATACGATACTATTATCTCATCTGCGAACTCCATGGCAATTTGCCCCTCACTGGTGATATTAACTTTGATCACTTAGCGAAGGTTGTGTCTGCCAAATTTCTCCACTGCAGAGTTATGATTTTTCCTTCCATAATTAATTATCATCTTGTGGGGAAATAAGCTGAAACTATGTAAACACTTTCTCATCAAGCTTTCATATCCATTGGTGATTCTTGCTGCAACCCATGATTACTATGGTGGCTGCCTGATGGTCATTTTCTTTCTTTCTTTTTCCTTTCTCTCTTTTTTTTTTTTTTTTAATAGAGATAAGATTTCACCATATTGCCCAGGCTGGTCTCGAACTCCTGGGCTCAATGATCCTCCTGCCTCAGTCTCCCAAAGTGCTGAGATTACAGGTGTAAGCCACCATGCCCGGCCTGAGCCCCCACTTTTAAGTAGGACATTGCACCATGGCCCTTGATCTTGACCAGAAAGGGAGGATAGTGAGGCACTGACCCCTTGTTCTGGCGGGCTGGGATGGGAGTAAAGGATATAGGCAGCATGGTGTCCAGAAGTGTTGTTCAGGTCCACTGGGAATTCACTCACTAGTTGAGCACCTACAATGTTCCAGGCGTGGCCCCAGCTCCTGAGAAACTAATAAAAAAGGGAGTAGATTGGGAGGCTGAGGCAGAAGGAAGGCTTGAGGCCAAGGGTTCAAGATCAACCTGTGCAATATGGTGAGACCCCCATCTCTGCAAAAAATAGAAAAATTATCCAGGCACAGTGATGCACACTCGTAGTCCCAACTACTCGGGAGGCTAAGGTGAGAGGATCGCTTGAGCCCAGAAGTTCAAGGCTGCAGTGAGCTATGATCATGCCACTGCACTCCAGCCTGGGCAACAGGGCAAGACCCTGTTTTGTTTTGTTTTTATTCTTAAATGGGGTGGGGAGTAGAGAAAATAGACTCCACTGTGCAGTTTCTAAAATTAAGAACTTTTGTACCCCAAAGGTTACAAAAGTTAACCTAGGTGGCTCTTTTAGCTATGCACATGGAGAGGAGTGAGCAATTGGTTTTTTGAGTGCTAGACAGAGCTGCCTCAACATTTGGTCATCTGGGAAACTAGTGGGCCAATTTGCATACCAAACCCACGGCCTGTGGGAGGGAAGGGAAAGAAGTCATAGTGTCTGGTGGACCAAGGCACAGAGGCAGGAAAGCAAGACAAGGGCGCTGAAATAGAATTCGCTACATCAAGAAGAGCGGGGATCCTTGCTGGTGATCAGGGTGCCACACAGAGGTCTCCCCATTTGGAGAGGTCCTATGCCCTCCACAGTGGAGGAAGTACCATGATGTCGGCTTCACAGGAGAGACTGTGGGAGCGATGGAATTTCAGGCAGTGGGGACATCATGAGCAAAGGAAAGCGCGGGATGAACAGCAACACCCACCCCCTATGTGGCCTCTGAAGCCATCTCTTTTGGGTGGGGCTTCCCACCACGGCACACAGCCCTCATGTTTATGTGGCCCTCCTCCCCTGCGATGTACCCTGGGCCAGGAATCATTCAGACCTGGATTCCAATTCCAGTGCTGGTACTTCCTAGCCAAGTGAATTTAGAAAGTCACTTTCACCTCTCTGAGCCTCCAGTCATGTATTCCTTCAACATGTATTTACTGTGGGCCTACTACGTGCCAAGCACTATTCCAGACAGTGGGCAGGCAGTGTGAACAAGATAAGCCTGGCCAGGCGCAGTGGCTCACATCTGTAATCCCAGCACTTTGGGAGGCCGAGGTGGGTGGCCTGAGGTCAGGGGTTCAAGACCAGCCTGGCCAGGCATGGTGACACACCTGTAGTCCAGCTAATAGGGGGCTGAAACACGAGAATTGCTTGAACCTGGGAGGCAGAGGTTGCACTAAGCCAAGATTATGCCACTGCACTCCAGCCTGGGCAACAGAGTGAGACTCTGTCTCAAAAAAAAAAAAAAGAAAAACAGACAAGGCCTGCCTTTGTAAAACATACATTCTGGTTGGGGAAGACAGACAGACAATAACCAGCGCTCACATACATAAATGATGAAACACCCTACAGAAGTATTAAGGTAATATAAGAACAAATTTCAAGGCTGGGTGTAGTGGCTTGCACCTGTAATCCCATCATTTTGGGAGCCCAACATGGGTGGATTGCCTGAGTTCAGGAGTTTGAGACCAGTCTGGGCAACATGGCAAAACCCTGTCTCTAAAAAAAAAAAAAAAAAAATACAGAAAAGAACCTGGCATGGTGGTGCATGCACCTCAGCCTCCTAGTTACTTGGGAGGCTGAGGTGGGAGAATGGCTGGAGTCCGGGAGAAGGAGGTTGCGTCACTGCACTCCAGCCTGGGTGACAGGGTGAGACCCTGTCTCAAAAAAAGCAGTAATAATAAAAATAAAATTTCAGAGGTGAAGATTGCTTTAACCAGGGTGGTCAGGAAAGGTCTCTCTGAGGCAGTGACATCTGGGCTGACGTGAAAGATGAGAAAAAGCCAGGCAAGTGAACAGAAGGCGAGACAGCCAGTGCCAAAGGCCTGTTGCAGGAATGAGCTCGGTATGTTTGGGGGACAGAAAGAAGGGCACTGTGGCCGAAGAGCAGTGGATGGAGAGAAAGTGGCCAAAGGAGGTGTGTAAACAACCTGAGCTTTGTTTTGAGAAGAACATTGGCTGGTGTAGAAAGAAAGACTTTGGAGGCAAAGTATGGAGCCTATCTATCCGGAGGCTGCTGCCATTGTCCGGGTAAGCTGATGGTGCTGAGACCAGGTGCCATGACTGGAAGTGGTGAGAAGTGGTCCTATGCAGGAGACCTGGAGACACCACTAGCTTGAGTCCTGAGGTGGGAAGGAAGGGAGAGTGAGGGATGGAGCCAGGCTCCCAGGTTTTGGCTTGAGCAGCTGAGATGGGATGGCAGGGGAGTGGAGGTAGGGCTGACATCAGGAGCGGTCTTTGGGCCGAGTCCTCTGCAGTCCCCATCTGACACCCACTGGAGGTGCAGAGTGGACAGCTGGCTATGAGTCTGGAACTGAGAGAAGCTGTTCGCTCTGGAAATACACACCTGGGGCTCATGGTCATAGATGTCATTTAAAGCCACGGGACTGGATGAGATCATTAAGGCAGAAGGTGTAGGTCGAAAGAAGAGGGCCAGGACCACTGACTGCAAAATGAGCCAATGACACCTACACCCACGGGGCTCTCGCGACGTGTCGCGTGAACGCACCCAACGAGCACTGGAACCAGAGCGGCCCCGAGGGCGGGGCTACCAGGGGGCGGGGTCAGACGGGGGCGGGGCCGAGGGACCAGGCGGCCGCTGCTGGCCGGAGGGCGGCCGGGACGGTGACGTCACCGCATGACTGGGTTTTTATGAATGAAAGGAATCCTGTGAGTGAGTAATTCCGGGAAGCTCGCCTTACAACTCCGCGCGGCCTCGGCCCCCTGCGCCGCCCTCCCCACAACAAAACTCAGCGCGGCGCTCCAGAGCGCCCGGTTCAGAGCGACCTGAGGCTCAGAGCGGAGGGGAGACAGACCAGAGCGCGGGCCGGGACAGCGGCCGGGACAGCGGCGAGACGCGCGCGTGCGAGTGCGCCGGGCCAAGAGGGCCCAGAGGCGGGTGAGGAACGCGGGGCCAGGAGGGCGGTGCGCGGGACCCCGAGGCGGCAGGGTTTCCCGCCCCAGGACGCGCCTGGGGTGGGCGCCGGGGCCCGATCCGTCGGGGCTCCCGGGGCTCCATCGCCCGACGGCTCGGGGCGGGGAGAAGGGAGCGGCCGTCCCGGGGACGCCGAGGACGGGGCCGAGGCCAGCTCGGCGGAGTGGGGGTGGAGACGGGGCCCCTTCCCGGGGCGCGGGCGGGGAGGCGGCGGCGCCGGGGAGGAAGGGGCAGCGCAGGCTGGCGATCTCCGCGTCCGCCCGGCGGGGGCGGGGGCGCTGTGCTCCTACGTGACTTCGGTGGGAACAGGCCCTGGCCCGGCGCCGGCGGGCGGTGCGTGCGCGGTTTGTTTACGTCTGAGGGCGGGCGGTCGGGCGTGTGTTCCCTGGCGGGCGGCCTGGGTATCCTGCCCGGTGCGTGCGTGCGCGGTGTACCTCGGGGGGCGTGTGTCTGTTGTGCTGTGTGTGCGCGTGTGTGCTTGTGTGTGCGTGTCCGCGCGCGCGCTCCCTGGGGCCTGTACACCAGCGGTGTGTACCTCGGAGAGGGCGTGCCCTGAGCTGGCCACCGGAGTAAACGCGGAACAAGGACCCGAGCGAAGGAAGCGGACCCATGCGTCTTCACACGGGGTCTGGGAATTCTGGCCCGGGCCTCCCCAGTCCTACTTACCCAGGGCTGTCCGGTCCCCGCTCTCCCCGGAGTTTCCCAGGGCCTCTGCCACGTGACCCCAGTGTTTGTCCCCCGCCCAGAGCCGGTGCCCGCAGCCACAGGGTGGGGCAAGGTATCAAAGACCCCACCCAGCTAAGCTAGGAGCGAGGGGTGTGAGCCACCCCCGCTTGGCACCCTGGTGGATCTGGTAACAAAGTGAGTTGGAGTCCAGGTTCTTGTCCCCAGATTTTGGGGCTCCCTAGGGAGGGAAAACCCAACGTACTCTCCTTCTTCCCAGGGTTGCCCATCCCCTCAGTCCCGTGAGAACAGGAAGGGCCAGAAAACCTTGACTGCAAAGGTGCGGGGCAGGGAGAGGACCACAGGCTTTCTCGCTAGTCCGGGTTCTGGAGGCTGTACCTGCTAGGTCTTGGAGGATGGGGTGGAGCCGGTTTCCGCCCTCCTGGTAGTTTCAGTTCGCAAGTGGGACTAGTGAGACCAGACTGACCTACAGCTGGACGCCGGAAGCTAGCTGAGGCTCTGAGCCAGCCGGCAGACCCCGAGTCCTCACCCTGGGCCAGGCAGGGTCAGCAGGCAGTGGGGATAGGCCTCTGCACGAAGGGTTAACGAGCGAGGGGTGGGGCCTGACCTAGCCACCACCTACCCACTCACCCAATAGCCCTGCAGAAAGCACCTGTTTGTTGTAGCAGCCTGCAGGATGGGCTGGGGGCTAGAGATTCCTTGGTCTTAATCCACCTTCCCCCTCCACCCACCCACAGGCTAGGGAATCATGGGAGGGGAGCAATGGAACTTCCTAGTGTGAGGAACCAATGATCTTTTGACTTTGGATCTTTGAACCCTGGGTGAGCTCTGCTGCAGCAGCTGAGACCCTCAGTGTTCCCATCTGCCACTGGAACTAGATAACAGCCAGGATGGCAGGATGGTGGGTAGAAGGGGGAAGCTCTGGAAGTCTCAGACTGCAGGCAGCATATTTTCCAGGTGAATTGTGGAAGAGAAAGAGCCGACTGCCCCATGCCAGGAGCTGGGGGTACCCAAGAGTAGGTCAGGGGGGTTGGGGCCAGGAGCACAGGAACCAGACAGGCCCACCCTCAAAGCTGGGCAGGAAACTTTCCAAAGTAGGGCCTGGGGTCAGGGGATGAGGGGAAGTGGCTGGTTGACTCAGTCCCAGATGAAAAGTTAGCATTGAGAGGTTTAACTTCCCATTGAATCACCCCTGGGCCCTGCATTGCCATTGGGCCCCTGCCCTGGACCAGATGCCAGGGATGAGATGAACAGACCAGATCCAGAGACTGACCTCTGGGAGCTTACAGCTGAGCAGTGGACACAGAGTTGAAGAAAGATCCACAGAAGTAAATGCAAAACACAGCTGAGATGGGTGATGTGAGGGAGAAGTCACTGTGGTTTGAAAGTACATAACAGCGCTCTGACTTAGCCAGGGCAATCAAGGAAGGCTTCCCTGGGGAGGTGACTAGTGCACTGAGTCTGATAGAGTGGTGGTTGTCTGCAAAGCCCTTGAAGGCAGGAACTGTGATTCACTTCAGGGTCTCCAGGGCCCAGCACAGAGCCTGGAACACAATGGGTGCTTCTCGGATGTTTGCTGATTGCATGAATGAGCCCTGGATCCCTGTCCTCGAAGAGCTCCACAACATATGCAGAAAAAGGCCTGGGAACCCCAGAGAAACAGGAAGCCAGGGCAGAGGCTGGAGGAATCTTGAAGCAGTCTCCCAAAAGCGAGCAGATCCTTCAGGGCTCAGGCAACTTCCTCCCTCACACACACTGGCATGCACTGCCCGCTTGTCCCTTTGGGAAACATTCAGGGATAGTAGAATTTGCTATCTGTTCATTCATTTGTTAGCATATGATCCTGGGAGAGAGTGGACAGGAACATGGTTGAGGCCTGAGGACCCTACTGTGTGGGCTTGCGGGGAGGCTGGCATTGCAGGGTTTTGAAATGGGCCAAGCACGGACAGGCTCGTGGGTTTGGGTCAGTAGTGATTCCTCTGACAGCTCTTGCGGGAGGATCAATGGTGGGGATTGGAGACAGACGGTAAGGCAAGAGGCTGGTGAGCAGGCAGCTGTGGTCATGGTCCAGATGAAAGAAGAAGTGGTCTGTGGCTGTGCAGGTGGAGAAGAGGGCTAGTCTGATAGTCTGATAGTTTGCGTCTCATGCCCCCACCTTCGGGAAGCCTTCACCACTTTCCTTTCCCTGCCTCCATTCTGCTGGTGGTCTTGGAGCTCTGAGCCAGAATCTGAAACTCTAAACTCGGAGATAGTCATTGTTGGAAGGTACCTTAGACTTGGAGGAGGTTTGGCGTATTGGGAAAACTGAGGCCCAGAGAGAGGGAGTGCTGTCCCTGAAGCCACACAGCGAGTGTGAGAGGGTGCCCGAACTAGGGCTGGAACCCCAGGCCGTTGCTTCTCTGTGGTGCTGGGTTCTCCCAGCCTTGCTCCCCTTCCAGCAGGGAGGCGGCTCCAGCAGAGCTGGCTGCCAAGACCTAGGAAAACACATTTTTTCCCTCTGTCCTCACAGAGCAAGCAACATGGCTCAGCAGCCAGAGAGGAGCCCATGCCAGCGGGTGGGCCTTCTACAGGATGTCTCTGGAGTGGACTGCTGGGGCCAGGGAGGGGGACGTTGGAGGGTTGTGGCTGCTGACTGGACAAGGCAGCTGTCAGTCCCTCAAGAGTCACCTCTCTCCTTATGCCTCCAGAAGACGTCATGGACCTCCAGACCCTGGAGGTCAGCTCTGCTGGCTTCCAAGGGAAGAAGCTAGGGAGAGGCGGTGGTGGCCGGAATAGAAGAGAGAGGACCCCTGGGTTCCAGTCCACCACTGCTACCAAACAGTGGCTTGGTTGCCTCCGGTGCCTAACAGGGGATTGGATCAGCTACTATTTCTCAGGCCCAGGGTCCGCCAGCCTGGCAAAGGCAGAGGACCCAGGCCCCTTGGCAGCCCCTGGCCTGGGGTTGCCTGCGGAAAGCCTGAGGTTACCAGAAAGTTCCCCCTTCTTGTGACTTTCCCTCTGTGATTGCCTGACTTTGCTGAGCTAGGACATTCCTGGGCAAACGTGGGTGCCTCAGCTGACATCCAGGATACAGTTGAGGGGGCTGAGGCTGGGACAGGAGGGCATGGAGGAGTGGGGGAAGAGCAGGTTCAAAACCTTCCTAGCGCCTGAGGGTATTTACAAACACAGCCAGCTTCCACTATTAGCAAGGGTAGGGAATGGCTGATGGTTCCATCTCTCCGTTCCATCTCTTGGGCCTGGTCTGGAGGCACTGTTGAGGATTCTGAGGCTGTGTCCAAGCTCAGGAGAAAACAGTTCTGTGCTGAGAAAGACTCAGGGGCTGTGTCCTGCCTCACTGGGAACTGGTGCTGGGTGTGGTTAGTGATGTGTCTGTTGCTTGTGGATAGTGGGATGATGGCGAGATGAGGTGATCTTTCTTGCCTATGCCTCTTTTTTTTTTTTTTTTAAGATGGAGTCTCGCTCTGTTGCCCAGGCTAGAGTCCAGTGGCTTGTTCTTGGCTCACTGAAACCACCTCCCAGACTCAAGCAATTCTCCTGCCTCAGCCTCTCAAGTAGCTGGGACTAGAGGTGTGCGCCACCACACCCAGCTAATTTTTGCATTTTTTTTTTTTTTAGTAGAGACAGGATTTCACATGTTGGCCAGGCTGTTCTTGAACTCCTGGCCTCAGATGATCTGCCCACCTCGGCCTCCCAAAGTGCTGGGATTACAGGCGTGAGCCACCTTGCCTGGCTATCTTTTTTTTTTTTTTTTTTTGAGATGGAGTTTCACTCTGTCGCCCAGGATGGAGTGCAGTGGCACGATTTCAGCTCACTGCAACCTCCACCTCCGGGTTCACGCCATTCTCCTGCCTCAGCCTCCCGAGTAGCTGGGACTACAGGCGCCCACCACCATGCCTGGCTAATTTTTTTTTTTAAGAGGCGGGGTCTTGCTTTGTCACCCAGGGAGTGCAGTGGCAGGATCACAGCTCATTCCCGCCTTGAATTCCTGGGCTCAAGGGGTCCTCCTGCCTCAGCCTCCTAAAGTAGCTGGGACCACAGGTGTGCACAACTGCACCTGGCTAATCTTTTTATTCTTTGGAGATGAAGTCTAGCCATCTTGCCCAGGTTGGTCTTGAACTCTCAGGCCTGAATCGTACCCCATGCTGGCTGTATAAGCCTGGACTACTCTATTGCCGTCTCTGGGCATTACCTCAGGATTGGGCGAACCAGGGAGATGACGGTGTGAAGGGACCAGGTTTCAGTCCTGGGCCTTTGCAGATATTCATTCACACCTGTTGTGT